GGTAAAAAGTGTATAAAAGGGAAACATGAAAAGTATAGGGGGACTGGACGTTTTGACGAAGTAACGTCGAGTTACGGATCAGAAGATTGGACGCGAGTATCTTTGTTCGATTTAATTTTGTTTAGTGTTACATTTTGATATTACCTTTTTGACTTTGTGTTTATTTCGTTTCTTAAATAAAATAACTATTTAAAAATCTGGACTTCGCGTAAATATTTTATATTCACCGTGCTTTTAGAATTGTGTGTGTGTGTGTGCAGCTACAGTCAAGGTTGGACTGCTGGTCCTTTAGTCAATCTTAATAGTTAGTGTACGTACTGGCTAGTTTTTGGGCTAAACCGTCTTTTAGTAGGTATAGTAAAAAGGTAGTTGTGCTGGTGGCTGACAAGGAGCCACCCTTCAGTCTTCTACTTTTGAGCTAGACCTTGCTGACGGGTCTAAACTCTAACCCTTTTGTTGTTCACTAATTTGAGGGTTTGGGGCTGACCAGTGTATCCAACGGGAGGACTCGAGAAGAGCTTGAAACGACGAACTAGTCGTCATATATAGTAACAAACATTAATTAATTTGTGTAAAACTTTTGTGTCTAGGTCGGGACACTATCGATATACGTCAATGCTTAATTAAAATAACGTGCAACTAAAAATTATAAAAAAAACTATTCTATAATTTTTAATGCATATATAATGATTTATAAGTGTAATATTAGTTTGGAAAAGTAAAGTACAGTAAATAATTTATCGATTATAAAACTAAAATACATTTATGAAATTGAAAATTATAATTGTTAGTTTTTAAAATTTTTTTTTTTACATAATTACGAATTTTCTTATATATTAAATATAGGCTATCAGATATTAATTAATAATTACACATAGTATAAATAAAATATTTGATAATTAATTAATAAATGCGATTTTTTTAAAAGATTAATTACTGTTCTGGTAATATTACCCATAGTTTATCCATATTAAAGTAAATATAAAGTAATAAAAAAATAATTACTGGTAATTTTACATCTCTATAAATATAACATTAGGGTGACCGTAAGCTAAATTGTTAGGTTTTTTTAATAAAATTTAGAAGGGCCACCCCCTAGAATTGTTTGAATACACAAAAAAAAATAATTGTTCAAAGTTGGTTATTTTCAAAATTGTCAAACTCTAAGATGGTATCTTCATAAGTTCATAAAAATTTTTTTGTAGTTATAACATTTTTCTATAAAAAAGATATCTACAAAAATGTTCGAAAAATTATTATTTAGCCGAACAAAAAATGAAAATGCAAATGTTCTATATTAAAGTTGATACTATTAACTTGATTTATTTTATAAACCGTCCACTGCAGAAAAAAAATGTTCACACAAAAGTTGTTTTAAATTAAATTTTCTATTTATTTTTTATCTAACGTTTTTTTTTTTTACCATTTACTATTCACAAGGTACATTAAATAATTTGTAAAATAAATTAAAATAAAATATTCAGACTTACATATTAATAAAATACTAAAAACTACTTTACAACTAAACAAACGTATAAAAAATTAAACTAGATATTCAAAAAATTTCTTATTTTTAGAAGTCTTGATATAAAATACTTTTATTGTAATTAACAAAATAACACCGATATTTTGTAATAATCTGTAGTAGATATTGTTTTTGTGCTTCATCTTTTGTTAAAATACTATTGTATTCTTCGATGAGCTTCATTATTTACAATTTCTTTTACTTTTCTATATGTATTGTTGTCTTTCTATAACATATAATCTAAATATAATAAATCAGTTTCAATTTCAAATCTTTCAAAAGTTTTTTTTTATTCCTTTGTAGTGAAGTCTTCAATATTTTAATTTTTATATTCATAAATTTCATTTTAACTTAAAACTACACATTTTTGTGTAAATGGAGCTTCTTCGCGATTATTAAATGAATTCACCATTTTAATTTTGGTGTCTTCAGATAAATTATCATCAAAAAATCCAAATGCTGCTGTTTCGGATACTAAATACCATAAGTGACCGGACAGGTCTTTTAAAACTACTTTATAAATATCTATATCTATTGTTTCATCTTCAATCATTTTTTTTATATTTTTTCAAACATTTTTTTCTTCACGATAAAGTATATTACATTTGCTTTAATTTAAGATATATATAAAAGTGTCATACTTTTTGGAACACTTCATAAGTTAAGTTTTTTAAGTTAGTTGTTTAAAAAGTTAATTTTTAGTGAAAAAGTTGTCATTTTAAATCTCTCCTGTAGGTAAGTAAAGTGTCAGATTTATAAATAAAATATACCAAATGATAGGTAAAGACATCATGCATTTATATAAAAAAAAAATTACGTTGATTTGGTTATTTTTAAAAAATTTATGGCAATTTTAGGTAAATAAAATTGAAAAAATTTTGAAAATTAGCCATTTTTAAATTTGTATTTTTTTCAGAGGTTTCCCCCATTTACGGGGAACGAGAGAATTTTTTTCAATTTTTGAGGGTAATGTCTTCGACTAGATACAATTTGTGATATTTTGACGTATCATTGAAAGAAATCGGTTGGATGAGAGTTGAGAGAAAGTGGTAACAGACACAAAAAAAAAAACATCATAGTAAAACTAATGCCATTTTAGCGTCGCATCGATGCTAAAAAAAATTATTGTAGCTTTAATAAACTGGATGGAAATAAAACAATATCTTATTTATAGTATTTAAATTTAGATTATCTATGTGTTTATGTAGTTGCAATGTGCTTTACCGCTAGGTTCCTAACAGTTGACTAATCTGTACCTAAACGGGGCAAAGCTGGCCCTATATAATTTATATCCCACTAAAAGGGCAGTTAGCGATTTCATGGCCAAATAAATATAGACTCTCAACTAATAACGATAAAAAGCATTTATTTCTATTTAATATTATTTAAGTATAACCTGACTGGATCTCTAGAGATGTTAGTCGTATCCAAGTTAGGTGAGCGACGGCGAAGAGTGTACACAACCCGAGATATAATAAAAAGTAAAACAATAATAGTAATTCATTTAGTAACCACAACAATATTGCACGAGTTAACTTATCAGATCAATAAAGTTAAGTTGCCGCAAGCGTGGTAAAATATCGACTGACTTTATTATGGTTACAATTAACTTAAGAACAGTGTGTAATCAGTTTGTTTACACCCGCGCGCCTTATACTCATAGTTAAGTTGTAGGGCCGTTTGTGCTCATCAGGCTCTAGTATAGTTGTAAATTGTTGATGTTGGTGAAGGACGAATAATCTGTCCGTAACATAATAATCAAAATATATTTTCTTGATATAGATTCATACCTCCAATAGATCCAGGTACAAATCAAAAAGATGTAATTAAAGTATCTGGATATTATTTGTAAGGAATCTGGTTGGAAATAATGAATCACATTAGTATATTTTATTTTGGTAAACTATACAGTGTAAATAGTATAATAAAAGACGAAATAAGTTGCATAAATTTTCGAATAATAAAAGAACATGTATCACAATTATTAATTTGTAGGTATACAGAAATAATGAAGAATTATCATACATTATTATCTGTTTTATTATATGTACAATATAGATGCAATCAACTACTACTATAATTGTTTGGTTAAATTATTCGATAAATCCAAAAAAATGCTCGAAGGATTGCATAGAGCTATAATTACTTTAAATAAATCATCAATACGGAGTGTTTAATACAGCTCTAAATCGAATTCATTAAGTATTTTCAAATGGGTTACAGTTTTTCTCAGTTTATTGAAGAACAATTATTTTTCTCAGAAAAACTTTAGAAATTTACATAATGATAATAAAATCGAAATAATTGAAAAATTTCTCGTAAATTTTAAAATCTATTTCAATATATTTAATTCTATGTTATCAAACTATAAGGTTATACTAAAAATTCAAATGCCATTCACTATTAAATAAAAAACTTAAACATTTTATTAAATTCAAAATATGTGTTCCCATTTAAAAAAACAAAGTTGACACCCTTACAAGGCATTAGGGATGAACATAAAAAGTTTTAAATAGTTAATAATTCAAGAATAATGTGTAACTGAAGATAACCAAAATAAAAAAAATGTTTAAATTATTATTACTCTGTAAGTAATTGAGTGGGTTACGATAAAAAAAATCACCTTGTATATTGTAAAATTCATTCTACATTAAAATATACAATTCTCTCACCTCATTCCTTATCCTCGGCATAACTAAAGACTTAAGATAAAATAAAACCACGAACGTTAACGAATCCGCGCGAATACCACCGGGCGCTGCGTTCAAACACATATTTTAATACTTTTTGTATCATTATATGTAAATTGTATCTATAATTTTCATAATATTAGCAACTCGTTTTGTCTTAAAATAATAATTATATAAATTCTTTTTAGAATCTTTTAATTTTAAATATGTATATATACATTAAATTCATGAATTTGCACACAGAACAAATATTAATAACTACAGAATGTTCATTTTATTTTGATATTGATGAACAGTATTAATGTTTAATCAAATTAAAGTATTGAACTTAAACAATAATTTTATTTTCAATTTAAATAAACCTTTTAAATATTTTAAAATAAATTATTTTTGAAAGTAATAATCCATATCATTAAATATATACAATAATATATCATTAAATACATTTTTTAATATAATACAAAATGTTCTTGAAAGCATTTGATGTTATAAACACAGAATTTATCCATAAATAGGTGATAATATAACTTATACATCCTGTAAAATATTATAAAAAACAGTGCTATATTTCATTGAAATATATGTTCACTGTCGTATAAAAATATTTATATCATTCATACATAAGTTTTATTGACAAATAAGTGATATTAAATAATAATGAAAACATTTTCATATATTATAATTCTTCTTAAGTTTTAAACGAAAAATTTTCATTATAGTATTTTTTACAATGAAATTTTATTCGTTTATTTTAATATCTATTATCTTTTTTTTTTTGCAACCAGATGAAAAAGTTCATTGTAAAAGTTATCATTCTATGTATGAAAATTATATAGAAACGGTGGTGAATCACATTTATTCACAGATTATATCGTATCGAAAACAAGATTCTAATCATTCTATTGGTATAGAGGAAGCATTCCAACCAAACTATAACCTATTAAATTTTAGACAAAAATATGATTACACAATAAGTATTATCAATTTCAAGTATCATGAAATTTTAAGAAAATACCTTGATTTAATTAATCTTTTACTAGGACACTGTCAGCGATTTTATAATGAAAATAAATCATCGATACATTTTATTTCTTGTGTACAATTTCTTGAAATAGTTGTGAACATTTCCAAGAATATGATTGAAAATTTACACAATGCAATGAAGTTTATAAGTTACATAGATATAAAATTTTTGTTTTTTGAAGGTTGCATGGTGCCACATTCTGAAATTCATGTAATCGAATTTATACATAAGTACGTCTTAGAAAAAAGTGTAGAAACCAACTCTTTTGATCTCAACAAATCACCTTATGAAATAAATTTGGAGAATTTGACAAAATTTTATACAGACGCTTCAATAAGAGTAAACAATTTTTTTCGAAATATTACGAACTTGAATACTTTAATAATAAATGATTTGAAAGAAATTAAAATTGCGGAATTATCTTATGACTTAAATTTCTTAAACAGAGATATACTTGATAAGTTTTTTAATGAAATTATAGAAGTTTGGTACCAAAACCTAGGATTTGAAGAATTTCTTAACCCTAAAACAGATGAGTAAGCATTCTTATATTTAAAAATATTTTGTATAATATATCATTGACAGTATTCGAAACGACTCTTGTTAATATTTAAAAAAAAATTATTGCGCTACGAAGTCTACATAATACTAAGTATTAATATTATAAGTCTTATAATATGAATTTAGTAATAATATATTACAATACTTTTTCATTATAGCACACCAATTTATTATGATATTTTTTACGTAGTTAGCTTATCGAAAATGAATAATTATATATGAACATAATTGTGCAATGTAAAGTTTAAGTAATATGATTTAGAATCATTATTAGCAGTATTTTATTCAGTGAATTAATTTATAATTTTGGTCTCATAATAACAAAAACATAATTTTGTACGTAATAAATTTTTAACATTAAATTATCTATGGTATTTAACAAAAAGTATTAATAAGCTCGTAGAAATTTATGAAATACTCTTAAAATATTATTATATTTTTAATTTATTAACACAAAAAAATCGTGTCAAACTTTATTCATTTTTTATTTCTTAATAATTAAATAAAAAACTAACAATTTATAATACAAATTCTATATTTTTAACCATTTTTGAGTAATTAACATGAATGAAAACAAACCAATGTCTTGTTAACAATATTTAATTAAATATTTTTTATGTATGTTTATAATAATCAAAATATATTTTTTCATTTAGTTTCATACCTCCAATAGATCCAGATACAAATCAAAATGATGGAATTGAAGCTCTTAATATTATTCGTAAGGAATCTGGTTGGGAAAAAATGAACCACATTAGTATAGTTTATTTTGGTAAAAATATCAGTGTAGATCGTATAATAAATGATGAAGTTAGTAACATAAATTTTCAAATAAAAAAGGAACACGTATCACAATTATTAAGATGTAGATTTACAGAAATAATGAAGAACTATCGTACATTAATATCTGCTTTTTTATATGTATGCAATAAAGATGCAGTCAACTACTACCATATTTGTTTGATTAAATTATTTAGCTCATTCGCCAAATCAAAAAAAATGCTTAAAGAATTGTATGAAGCTCTAGTTACTTTAAATGAATCATCAATATGGAATGTTCATTTAAGCTCTAAATCGAGTTTACATAAAATTTTTAGTTGGGTTGCAGGTTTTCTTAAATTATTAGAAAACAATGATTTTTCTCTAAAAAATATTGTTGAAAATAAATTTGAAATGGTTGAGCAACTTCTTGTAATTTTTAAAAACCATTTAAATATCTTTAGTGATAATTTACGGAGCGATTTGAGTACATATGACACCCGATGTTCAATGGATATAAAATTTGAAAATGTTAAGGATTATGTAAGCTATTTTAGGAACCTAGGAGTTATATCATTTAGTTCAAATTCTGAATTAATCAACCAAATTATTCATAATGCGTGTAATTATTTTGAAAAATTTTTTGAGTATGTTAGTAAATCTTGTTATGAAGATTTGGGTTTTGAAAAACTTTCGCACTGTAAAAACAAAGAATTAGACACTAAACTTCTTTGCGTAAAAAAAGTATCAACAGATTTTATTTAAAAATTAAATATGGTTTTATTATTTCTTTATTATGGTTAATTATTAAATTTATTTATCTAATATAAAATTTAATGATCATCACTAAAATTATTATTTTAGTTTATAATCTCCCTATCATTTGCTATATTTGTAATATCTTCACTTGCACACTTGATATAATATATTTTTAAAATAATTTACTTTTTATAAATATATACTGATGAATAACCTGTTTTGTTTTTACTGATAATAATATTAATATTAAAAAATAATAACTTTTTTTATATTGTATTTTATTTAAACAAATTGTCAAAATTAGATATAGTAGTCGACTCTTGTGATAACGTGTTCTTTAAAAACCGTTAACCCAATTTTTTGACAAACAAATCTAATTGAATACTGGACTCGGTGAGAAGGTTTTCTAGTTATTCCAGAATCTCTCTCGGGGATCGAGGTCGTATCACGAGAGATATTACTAGTAATTACTCTATCATATATGTGGTACAGTCGCCAAATATGAACGTGAATGGGTTACTAAGGATGGGGACAAATTGCATGACGATGATACTAATTTGTTCGCCCCGAAATGTCTAGTGTGTTGTAGGCGCACGTCTGTGTGAAACATGTGCGTATTCGCTCGAGGTAGTGTAGATGACAAGCGCGTCGTCTAATTATATAATTGTTGTAAGTTACGCGTTCGGTTAAGACAGATGCGATATGTTTCTACAGGTTTTCGCGTCACCTGTGCGAAGGTGAATTATGTCAGATATCAACTATTTTATACCCCATTTATACCAAGTTTGATAGGATTTTTTTAAAGAGAGTTACAGAAATATTTCGGAAGTTTGCCTACTGATCTATGATTATTGTAATTTGAAATTGTATGGCTTCACTGTTAAAAAATGTATTTTACTTATTTTTGTTAGATGTATTGCAGTTTTATTAAACATAAAAATACCGGTATAAACTGGTGACAAATGAAAATTTTTAGATACGGTTAATTTATGTTTTGAAATTCTTAAAAAAAATTGAAGACCAGCGTTTGAAACTAGTTCAAAAATAACAAAACCTATATTTTTATTTTTAGCACTTCAACACCAAATCGAAAAAGTATAGAACTTCATGGGAATAATGACAGTAATAGAATAACATAGTGACCATTGCTTATTAATATAAAAATTATCGCGATTAATTGTTATATTCTTTAATATCAATAATGCAATAAATACTGGCGGTTATCAATGATAGGTAAGATGGAGTCACCTTATGTATTTACTCAGAGTAATATGGAGGCTATTCATATATTATATGAATCTTCAAATTGGCTTCTGGCATAGACACGTATCAATTGTAATAAACCAAAAAGAAAAAGAAAAGAAAGCGGAAATTTAAATTTGACTTACTTAATATGGTACGTAATGGTATGGTTATTTGGTACAATCCAATGTTGATTATGAGTTGACACTGTATTTCACACGTTGTACACTTTAAGTTCGACAGTAAATATGACCGTTTGAGAATAAAGCGTTTAATTATAAATAATGCGAAACCGTTACACAAAATCTATGACTGTATTATTATATGTAGGAGATTCTATACACTCTATATTTTTTATAATTATAATCAAATGATGTATCTTTAGTTGACTTTGTAGAATGAGTATATTGTTTGAGAGATTATATTTTATTGAGAGATCGACACCAATATTTCTTAAATTTTCCTTTGGCCTGGCCAAAACAAGATCCAGAAATATTTACATCTATGTAAAAGATTTGTCAAGGCGGAATTGTGGTGGCCCAATGTATCCCGGTGCTAAAATAAAGCACCTTGAAAGGATGCGGCACAATAATCACCAAGACAAAAATTAAACATTAAAACATATATTCGTAAGTTTCTCTGTGCTGTCTGCCGGCATGATGTTCGTTAAAACAAAGACATTAAACCTTAAAAGACTAGCTACCCAATACACATAGGCTTACAAATATATTCTAACCTAATACACCTAACTTTAAAAATCTTTAATTGCAACCTTTACTCTGTCTGCCGGCGCGATGTTCGTTAGAACAAAGACATTAAACCTTAAAAGACTAGCTACCCAATAAGTATAGGATTGCAATACACTTAGTCATATAATAAATATTTATCATTAACTGAGAAAATTAGAGTTGATTCGGTTTTATTACATATATAAGAAAATTTTGTTTTAAAATATTAATTGACATTTATTTCCATGATAAAAATAAAACATTATTATTTAATGAACAAATTAAATTAAAATAATAGATTCACCAAAACAAAATTCACTTTAAAATCTCTAAGTGTCATTTAGTTTTAAAGAAAAATATTCTAAGTCCAAATAAATTAAAAAAAACGACTAAGTCCTAGAGAGTAAGAATCTTGAGTAGAGTGTCGCAGATTTTGTGTATTTTAATATCGCCGAAAGAACTGATTTTAATAGGAAAAAATGGGTTTTTATAGTAGACGAGGGTCGTGTAGCGATCCCTAGTGTGATCTCAGAAACTGTAGATCTTAATTAATAGTTAAATGTGATTGGCTGTAGCTAATTAAAAACCCACACATGGGCGTGACTTTGAATCTGTACGATAATCAGATTTAATTGCCTAATTTATTGATTATTTTAAGTTTTAAATAAGGGAACCCTGTTTTGGTGATCTTGTAAATTCACAATATATGACATACATGTACAAAAGATAACATAATATAATATTTTAATATTATAAGTAATAATATAATATTACACAATGATCTAAATCTGCCAATTAGCTCGTTACAAACATTAATGTTTTACTTTAATTACTATTTTATTTTTAGTGATCACTTAAATTTTTTTTGCCACTACTGTAGTAAATAGCTAAGAAGGTATCAAATAACTTCGATATTAGTTTAGTATAAGTTTTTAACACTGCAGTAAGCAATTTTAAATTCTTAAGTAAAATATTATTCTCATATAAGGGAAAATGCAGGGTAAGTAATTTAAAATTTTTGAGAACAAGAATGTATAAAGGGAAACGAGAAAAGTAATGGTGGATTGACGTTTTGACTAATACTTGTCTAGTTACGAGTCACGTTTGGTGCGTATAACTTTCTATTTTTGAACTACTTAATTTATATCGTGTTACATTTTTATATTGTATTTTCATTTTGTGTTCCGTAAATAGAAGATAACTATTCAAAAACCTGTACTTAGTGTAAATATTTTTATCCACCGCGTTATTAAAATTGTGTGTGTGCGGCCAGAGTGAAGATTAGACTGGTGGTCCTTTAGTCTACCTTAACAATTAGTGTGCATGCTGCTGGCTGTCTAAGAGTCACCCTTCAGTCTAATACTTTTGAACTAGACCATGCTGACGGGTCTAAACTCCAGTGGCGTATTTACAAATTTGCTCAGGGGGGGGGATGAAATGAATAATTCTCCATAGACTTGTGGGGGCTTCCCCCTCCCCGCCACCCCACAAAGTCCAAGAAACTAAATAACATAACATAAAAATTTTATTTTTAAAGTTCACCAACTTATCACTTAATTAAAACACAATATTATTAAGTTATTATACACTAACTAGGCTCCGCCTAGCTGGTGCTCCGCCCCAGACCCGGGGCCCTAAAAAAATATTGATAGCGCTTGTTCAAGGAGGGGCCAATCTCTCTTAAATACACCCCTGTTATACACAAAAATTATTAATAATCTAATTATAATAATTGTTTTTATATTATAGAATAATTAAAAAAAAATTTAGCAGGTTATTATAAGTGGCACACTATAAATTTAAATTAAAATTAATATTAAAAATAAAAATAAAAATTTAATTTTGATAAATATATTAGTAACTGCGATTTAACGATGAACATCATAGTTATCATAGATGAACCCCAATTCAAAGGATAAACTCATAGTCTCATACATCATATATGAGAAAAAAGCAAATTATTCCTTGATAAAAATAGGGCAAATGCAAAATAGTGTCCTACTAATAATACATAATACACCATATAAATAAGGTTCATAATACGTATCAGCAGAAATGAATCACTGCGCATAATACAACCATGCGCGTGGACTTAAAAAAAAAGCTCGTAAAATGTGAAAAATGAACGGATTGAATTGATTTTTTTATCATATGTCAGGAATGTCATTGGGCGGGTCTGATGAAAATTTCAAACCTTAAGTCGTAAAACGCTGGCGTCAGCGAGCGTTTTTCTCGAAAACGGTCGAAATTTTAAAACGCTCGCGGGCGAGCGGCAAAAATTTTCCGACCTTCGCCAATAATTTTCCCGGAGTCTGGTGACCGAGTACTTTCGTTAAAAAAAAAATTTTTGAAAATCCGAGCACGCTAAGTAATTTTCCCAGAAAAGCGTTTTTTTCCTTGTTCTATTATATAATAAGATTATTTACAAAATACTTCAATTTTTAAATTAACTACAACACAAAATCCAATTTTCTATTTTTTTGAATACTAAGTTCATTTATGACTTCATCTGGTGAAACTTCTATTGTCCGGTAAATTGCCAATAAAGCCAGCCCATTAAGTCTAGTCTAATAATAAAAAAATAAACTATTATTTTAATACTAATTTATAATTGTATTCCAATAATAAATAGAAAATATATTTACTTCTGTCATACTATTCCTAAGATAGGACTTAATCCTTTTTAGGCTGGAAAAGCATCGCTCAGGAGTAGCGGTGGACACAGGCAATGTACAAAATATTTTAAGAAGCCCATAAATATTAGGGTATATTACTTTGTCGCCAAACCAGTAGAAATAGAATTATTTTCTGGTGGTGAATTTGAAACTTTCCTTTTGAAAAAATTTAAAATGGATTCTTTATTACTTTTCCCCATTGAACTAGTATTCATGTTTTACAATCAAACAAATCACATTTACATTAAAACTCCCTTAACCCAACAGTAAATTTGAACAACATAACTGTTATTTACACGCGTTTATCGTTTACGTTGCTTCTCAGCACGCTTCACAACTCGTGATCATCAGTGTTACCAAAATTATTTAATATTTAATAAAACAATAGAGGTCTAACTCATAACTGATATCATTTTTATAAAAAAAAAAAAATTCACTTTTTTTTTTCAATATTGATTTTAACATTCATTTTCATAATTTCGTTCATTCAATAATCAAAAAAATTATTTTAAAAAACCTACCGGGGGGGGATATGACCCCCATATCCCCCCCCCGTAAATACGCCACTGCTAAACTCTACCCCTTTAGTAGTTCACGAATTGAAAAGATTGGGGTTGACCAGTT